TGTACAAATGTGCTTTACACAATTGATGTATGTATGGATTGTGATAAGAGTTGTATGAGCCCCTAATAAAATGATTAGAAAAAAAAATCCAAAAAAAATTTTCAAGTCCCTTATAGATTATCAAAATATAAGGGTGTGAAAAGGATTAAATATTTTAGTCTTTTGAGCTCCCAACTGGAAAAAAAATTGTTGTGTAAATAGCAGGGACTATTATTATTATTTTAATTATTAACAATAATGGTACTGACCACATTGCTGAGATGCTTGTCATTTAAACATTATCTTTTCCCTTCCCTTCCCTTCCCAGTCTGTAGGCAGCACTGATCAGACTGATTCACTTTGTTTCTCTCTCAGCAAGAGATTCCAATAGTGTATTGTTCCAAATGCTATGAGCTATGCTGAAAAAATGTAGTAAGAGGAGGAAATATCAGCAGACATTTCTGTAATTAATCCCCTCCTGCACACAATCCCTTGTCTAAACATGATTACCACTTCTCGAGACATATCTGAACTTTATCCTCATTTAAAATCACGTTCAAACAGGCTTGTTGAATCCCAATAGCTTCAGTGAAGTCAAGTAGCTTTTGAAGTTTTTTAAATGATTTTTCTTAATTTCGGGACATGTGGGATTAGACAGTGACAAGTTAGGTGAATGTAGAAATCAAAGCCTGGGTACTATTTTATTAGTCTAAAATTTCCAAAAGAGAAGTTTGTATATTCTTGATAGAGAAGCCATCTTCATGAAGTGTCATGTTAAATAGTAGTGCTAAAAAAGAAAAATGACAACAATCACAAAAATTCAATGAGGAAAAATAGTACTAATAGATGATCCTCCTGGAAAACATTTGAGAATAAGGTATTATCATTAAGTTAACCATGACAAATAGCCCTACACAACAATTCCGTGATATAAATTGACTAACATGAGTTGATTGATAGGAGTTGTTCTAGAGCCAACTCCAGTTCATGGTGTAAGAGCAGCACTGGGATCACAGCATTTTCAAATTTGACTTATAGTCTGTAGTGGAAGAATATTGGAAGCACCACGGACAAGCAGAAGAACAAACAGAACTCTCTTGAAAGAAGTACAGACAGAACACTCTTTTGAAGTGACAATGGTGAAACTTTATCTCGTGTACTTTGGATGGACCAGTCCCTGGGAAGGGCCATCCTTCTTGGTAAACGAGCAGGTCAGCAAAAAGAGAGGAAGAACTTGAATGAGATAGATTGGCACAGCAGCTGTACAATGGGCTCATAGCAATTGTGAAGATGGCCCAGCACTAGTTTGTCTCATATTCTCTTGCACATAGGGTCGCTATTGGTGGGAGCTGACTGCATGACACCTAAAAATAACAACAAACTTTTCAGAAGTATGTACACGGGTCTTTCTTCCAAAGTGTTTCTAATGGACACAAACTCCCAACCCTTCAATTACCATCCATGCCTGTTGATCGTACCACCTAGAGATTTCAGAAAAATCCAAACCCACGGCTGTTCATTCTTGTCTGACACATAGCAATGGAGTAAGACTCCTCCATGGACTTTCCGAAGCCATAAATCTCTCCTTAACAGTTTTATTGGCATATAATTCTCCTATCATTCAATTCAATTGTTCGATCATATTACAAAGGGTTGTACAATCATCCCCACAATCAATTTGAGAACATCTTTGTTCTTGTATCCATCTTTGTTAGTGCCCATTTCCCCCTAACCTCCCCCACCATATCCCCAAAGAACCACTAATCCAGTTATTGTCTCTATCAATTTATTTACTCTAGTTTTCATATATAGAAAACATTTGCTATACTTTGTGGAGTAACTTTGTGGTGTAATTTAGACTCAATTCTTGGCTTGCATCATAAAACCATATATGCGTATATAAGAACAAGTTCAAAAGGTGACGTCTAATACTTCTTTTTCATTTTCCAATCGATGTCATCCAAGTATACTTACTCCCACATATTGCTTTGAAGTATGTACCTTAAGGTCCTTTGGGATGAAGTCTGAATCTCATATTTCTATATTCTTTAGCCATGTGCTCATGAAATACAATTACTTGAATTAAAGTCAATTAAGCCTTAGCAAACTGACCGCTTGCTGATCTCTCACAAAGTGCTTGTTTCATTTCAATTCTAAGAAAAGATTTTGGAAGACTATATCTGGGGAAGTCAAGCCAGCCATTGTGAAAAATTACTAATAAGATAAAACCATGATTTATATGAAAAAAATGCATGTAATTATCAAGCTCAATGGATAATATTTCTGGTTTCACTTGGATTTGAAATGCATTATTTTTCAACTCTGCAAAAGAATTAGAACAGAAAGTAATAATTGCTGATAAAGGTACATTAATATCAGGAGAAACATTATTAAGGGACATTGACTATCTGCATGCTACAATATTAAAACATAAGGAATGGACAAGATGCCACTGGAAAGTAAAGCATGATGCTATGCCACTGTTAATTACCTAGGCCAGTGTCTAAGATTTACTACATTAATTGGTAAATATTTATTTTGCAATTATTGTGTGTTTGAAATGAGTTTATTGTTTTAAACAAAAGATTATCCATGCTTATCCACATAAATACATTTTCTATTGTCAAAAGCTCATACATATGGGCATAGGTCAAATTTTCAGTATTTCTGAGACTTTCTAGAACAAGACAATAAGAATATTT